AGGTCAGGTTGGACGGGGCTCTGAGCAACCTGATCTAGTTGAAGATGTCCCTGCCCACGGCAGGGGGGTTGGACTAGATGACCTTTAGAGGTCCCTTCCAACCCAAACTATTCTATGATTCTATGATTCTATGATTAAGTAACAGTAAATGAAAATATGATGCAGTTAATTAGAAAAAATGACCATAAAAATTTAAACCAAATTGTAGGCTTTAGTGTCAGAAGGTTTATTAAAAAAAATCAGGGTATTAACTGCTAGTTTTCTAAGGGCAATTCTACTGAGAGCCGTTGGAGTGTTCTAGCTAGAATGACACACTACAAGACAGTAATAAATAACTCTAATTATACTCTACTTGAGAATTCTCTGGGACTATTTTAAAGGCACACAAGCCTATTAGAGAGTGTAAGCAAAATCACATAGCTGTATTACAACTTGACTATTCTGGCTGATAGATTTTGGAGTGCTTGGCACCTTTTCATATGAATTACACCTTGCAATAACAGTACCTTAAAGAACTTCCAAGGTCTTTTAAAGATGTTTTTTGTGGCTCAGTCATAATCGCAATGGGAGTGAACGTAAAAGGACATTCAGGTAGGTTTACCATCAAATAAAAAATGTTTCTACAAACCTGTATATTTGTACTAATGCAAATATTACCGTTTGCCTTTGGACAGTCTTGCAGTTTTAGAATTTCAGGTATCATGATATTACATAAACAAAGAGAGTGAAACTAGCCATCCTGTGGTCCAATTAATTATAATTTTTTCTACGGTTGTCGTGGTTTAACCTCAGTCAGCAACCGAGTACCACACAGCCGCTCGCTCACTTCCCCCCCCCCCCCGGCCCCAGTGGGATGGGGGAGAGAATTGGAAGAGTAGAAGTGAGAAAAAACTTGTGGGTTGAGATAAAAACAGTTTAAAACTGAAATAAAATAATAATAACAATAATAATGTAATAATAATAATACACAAAGCAAGTGATGCACAGTGCAATTGCTCACCCCCCACCGACCGATGCCCAGCCAGTCCCCGAGCAGCGGCCCCCCCCGCCCAGCTTTCCCCAGTTTATGTACTGAGCATGACGTCACATGGTATGGAATGTCCCTTTGGCCAGTTTGGGTCAGCTGTCCTGGCTGTGCCCCCTCCCAGCTTCTTGTGCACCTCCAGCCTTCTCAGTCGGTAGAGCATGGGAAGTTGAAAAGTCCTTGACTTAGTGTAAGCACTGCTTAGCAACAACTAAAACATCGATGTGTTATCAGCATTGTTCTCATCCTAAATCCAAAACACAGCACTGTACCAGCTACTAGGAAGGAAATTAACTCTATCCCTGCCAGTTTGTGCCCAACGGTTTAGATTTAAAGGGCAGGAAGCTCTCTTATTACATGTTACAGTTCTATACACAGACATAGCATTACATTACAAAAATAAATTTCTAAAAACAGCCTCAAATTTCAATGTAATCAGGTCAACTGAGTTCATGTACTGTAAGTAACAGAGCACTTGATTTACATTTGTCACCTTTTGTCTATCAAAATACTTTTCTGAAAAACAAATCTTTTAGAATTATAGAATAGCTGAAGAAACTGATAGTTCCCAGGAATTCCTAGGAACAGTTGGAAGGAACCTTTGGAGATTGCCTAGTCCAACTCCCCTGCTCAAAGCAGTGTTAGCTGGAGCAGGTTGCTCAGGACTCTGTCCAGCTGAGTTTTTAGTATCTCCAAGAATTGAGGCTCTACAACCTTTCTGGGTAACCTGTTCCAGTATTCAATCACTCTCATAGTAAAGAAGTTTTTTCTTATGTTTAAATTGAATTTCCTGTATTTCAGTTTGTGCCCATTGCCTCTTTTCCCGTTACTGTAAACCACTGAGAATGGTCTGGCTCCATCTTCTTTACATCCTCCCATGAAGTGATGGTAAGATTTCTTCCTAATGCAGCCCAGGATGCTGTTGGCTTTCTTTGCTGCAAGGACATATTGCTGGTCCATCTTCAACTTGTTGTCCACAAGGACCCCAGGACCTTTCCTGTAAAGCAGCTTTGCAGCTGGTCAGCTGCCAGTCTGTACTGGTGCACGGGGATATTTCTCTCCAGGTGCAGGACTTGGCTTGTCCCTTTGTT